GTAAGTGAGAATAAAGCACTGCGATGATTTACAGACGCCACCTTTGAATCTTAATAAATTGTTTGATGTGAGTAGGAATGGTAATCAAGGACCGTATTTTGTAGAAAACCGATTCCCAGTAGTCCAATTCCTTGGGACTATTAGTCTGGCTGCTTATCGATCAATCTTGCACTCACGCTACAATCAGCTGACTTTAATTCACGTGACAGAGGAAAATACCAACTTAGTCTAGAGCGTGGTTATGTACGAGATCAATGGTAAAGTGGAAAACTGCATCCAGGACAGAAACAACCGCATTATGCTGCTAACACAACTTCAGTTCTTTGCAAACAGCATAGTATAACAAATTACTTGTCCCAGTAGTAATTAAGTAACGTGCTGCATGACTTTTAAGAAAAGTGTTGTGTGTAACAATGACTTTTTGAGTAACGACTCTAACACTGATCACAACAAAGAGGGGAAATCTCAACACGCACAAACATTTGACCCACAGCATGCATTTCATTTAGATGAATGTAATTTCTTTACTTCTGTTTAACAATGGCATTGACTCTCAAAACTGAGCCAGTGAAAACCCAATAACAATTGATAAGAGAATCGAATGGATAAGTGATGCTGATAATGGAATCGCTAAATTCTTTTCAATTTCCATCCCTGAATGTGAGTGAGATGTAAGTTACAGCACCGTTGCTGTTTTAGGAGCCGTAGCCGGAGTTGGAGGAGACGTGGGAGAGGACGATCTCGCTCTCGCAGCACCACGTACCGCAGTTACAGGAGTCACAGGTACACTATGAAACACTCATGGGACAAGTGCAAGATCTGATAGGGAATATTCTGTAGTTGGCATTTTAGATTTCTGTGTTGATTCCTAAGAAGAAAACTCAAAAATGTCTTTATAAATGTGCCCACAATGTTTTAACAGTTACTAATCTATGATGTTGAAGTTAAACCTCTGATTTTTGGTGTTTTCCGTTGTTCCCGTCAGCCGGACGTACAATAGAAGTCATTCCAGAAGCCGCTCATATATTCGCCGGAGAAGATCCAGGTGTGTGAGGACACTTAAGTCACATTTAGAAATGTGGAATTGTTCATAGAAACGCAATGAAGTATGTTGAGCTTAAAAAATGGCAATATAATTGTAACTGAGAACACATAAGTTTGTAAGAGATCAGTTGATTTTTTTACAGCCCTCATAATTTTGGCCAAATATCGCTGAGGTTGTGAATATTTTCTGCTTCGTCTTATTAAGCAGCAGGTTTACCAGCAGGACTGTTGGTCAGACAAAGAAACGTTTAGACTTTTGATAAATAGTATAGATATTTCAAAACCTAAAAGCATGTGCAGATCCATCAGTATTTTCAATAACATTTAATGTGGCACCACAGAAGATGAATGCTTGAAACTGGAAAAACAAAACTCGGTACAGTCAGATTGATGGGATTGTTGTAATGATCAGACTTTAGACCAAAAACAGGATCCATATGTCTTAAGATGGACACAAAACTTTGAGCTGAAGGTCTTTAAACAGGGCTTGAAAGGTTTTACAGTAGGGCTGTGCGATATGACCAATATATGAGATATATCCCGATATAAGACATCTATCGTCCCGATAACGATAAAAATCACAAAATCTTCTGTAAATTCTGTGAATCTCGGGCAGCTTGACTTGTGTAAAGTGTTTCCAGCTGGGCGTCGTGTACCTGGAGTCGAGTGTTTTAACTGACGCGTGAAACTATATATTTTTAGACATAAGTTGTAACGGCCGCCGTTTCTTTGTGAGTATTTATTACACGGCGTGCTGCGGGGAAAAGCCTGTTCTAACGTTTGAGTCTAAGGTTTATTTTTTAGCACCTGGCGGCTCTTTTTTACTTCTCATCCGTAAACACTGTGCATACTCTTTCACGTGATTCAGTTTATTTTGAAAAGGCTCAACAGGATCTTGAGCTTTATTGTGAAAGGTTTATGTGGAAAATAAACAAGCGGACACGCGATGGTTTCGCCATCGTTGTTGCTAACGACAACGCATAAAAACAGGCGCTTGTCAGTTCGTCGTGTGGTTATATTAAATATAAGAGAAAGAGAGAACTTTAAGAAATTAATATAGCCACTACAGTGACCATCAAAACGATGAAAAAATATTGCTGTAAACAGTTTATTTTGCGACACCACGAAACAAACGATAGCGTAAACTGAAACGATAGACGTTTTTATATCGTCATCCGATATATATCGTTACATCAAACAGCCCTATTTTACAGGGTAGTAAAATTAATACTGAAAAGTCTGCTGTTGGCACTAAATGTCACCTTTTAAAATACAGTGTGTCAAAGAGAATCATCAGAATTAAAAATATATAATATTTTATAGTAATGGACATAAAATCTTGAAGTAAATGGCTTAATATAAAATTTTACACACAAAATTGAAAATATCCACAAGTGCTCAATGTTAACACACGGCATCCATACGATAGTCAAACTAGTCCAGTACTTTTGCAAGCACATCTGGAGCCACAGCTGTTGTTACGTATCAGAAACCACATGAAACTCACCAATCCGCTCTTTCTAACAGCCGATTCCCTGACACATTGTGTTCCCTTATACCGTGATCTGTTTACCATTGTTGAGCTTGTTTTTCACCGATTACAACTATTAAAATATTTAAATTCTCAGTGATGTTGTTCTTGTTTGCTCATATCGATTATTGTTGGACTGCATGTCCTTTTAAAATGATAAGTAACCCACTTTTTGCTGCTTAAAAATAGTTAAAGTTAAGCTTATGAAGCCCTGATAATTACTTTTGAGCTGTATTTGTAACCATGTCAGAAATGGGTCTTAAAGCTCTACATGTCATGACTGAATTCGGTGTCATTCTGTTGCTATTCCCAAAATAATATCTGTGTTGTCACCTGGCTGGATGTTAATGCAGGTCAGACTCCTATGACAGCTATTCCAGTCGGAGTCGGAGTGTGAGCAGGAGACGAGGGCGCAGGCGAAGTGACAGCTACAGGAGCTCAGACCGCCGATCGCGGTAAGACTGAGTTCCCAGGTGAACTCTGACAGACACTAACGATGTGGCCGGTCTCACTTCAACCTTTTCGCCCTCTCAAATCTTTCTGTCCTGTTGAAAATCATTGTTTTTTCACATGCGTTTCAGTGTCTTTAAGATAAAAGAAGCCAAAACACCCCACTAAATGTTCTCCACACGTCTGTGCATTGTAAACACCTCTGCAGTGCCTCAAAGGTGAAACGTTTTCTTTTGTCTGCAGGTCGTATGGCTCGTCCAGTCGCAGTTCTTCTAGGCGCAGGAGCCACAGTCGCAGCAGTCGCTACAGCTGAGCTGCGCCTTAAGGCAGCCTGCTGGTTTACACCCGATGACAAGGATCAGAACCACAAAGTCTGGACAATGTCATATATTCAAAGATCAGCTCCTAAAGCTCTAAGAGGAAGAATTAAATCCAGTCTTATGGTCAGTTTAACATGGTTGTGTATGTCCACCTGGCACAAGCTGGCATTATAATTACTGAGGAAATGAATGTAAATTTATAAACCACTTTACAAGCTGATACAAAGGCCTCCTTTTTGGGGCTGTCACAACAAGTGGCTGAAAATCTGCCAACACAGTCCATCAAACAGAAAGTTTGAAAGTGAAATATACTTAATACTAATATTATGACAAATATGCTCTAAATAATTAAATAATTTTATATTCATGGATTGTGTTTTCTACTTCTTTTATACACTGAAGTTGTTACAGTTTAAGAGTCTAATCGTCTCAGTCTTGATGTGTTTTTGAGGTTTTGCATTAAGCTTTGAAAGTTTTCCTAAAGTCATCACTGAATGGAATAATTTGTTTTTATAACTATTTTTTTTTCAGTGCTTTTATTTTATTGTATCATGAATGTTCAAACTAAACTCAAAGTATGGTACCACAGATGTAGGTTTATTCAGTTCTAAATGTTTACATTTAATAAATACCAACACATCTTGAACTCTGGTCTGGTATTTTGTGTTTTTCTTTGCTTTCTCAGGATCTCTGAATTATTTGTACCTCAGCAATGGTGCCATCTACCTTCAGTTTATATCTGTAGTGTGTTTAACTATGTGTGCGTAAGAGAACAAAACGGTAAGCCCCACCGTGAAGTTCTAACTGCCATATTCAGTCAAACTGATGATATGGATTCCAGTTTTCTTTCATTACAAATAGAGCAATGATTCCAATCATGTGTTACTTGTTCTAAGAACTGTCCATGAGCTACATGTTATGCTCAATAACCACTGTATTAGGTAGTGCTCCAGTTTGCCTTTAGGACTGCTAAATTTCTGTAAACATTCCTCTGAGATTTGTCCATATTGACATGGCATCATCACACAGTTGTCGGCTGCACATCCGGGATGAATCTCCCGTTTCACCACATCCCAAAGGTGCTCTATTGGATTGAGATCTGGTGACTGTGGAGGTCATTTGAGTACAGTGAACCCACTGTCATGTTCAAGATTGTGCTCAAAACAGCCAGGAGAATGTAGCTACACTGTGGTCATAAAGGGAAGGATGTGGTGTTTAAACTATGTACAGTCGGTTGGTACTAATGAGCCCAAAGTGTGCCAAAAAAATATCCATCACACATCACAGCACCACCAACAGTGGCTTGAACTGTTATTATGATGCAGGATGGATCCATGCTGTTTATGACAAATTCTGACTCAATCATTTAAAAAAAAAAAAATCAATCTTGTCCAATTTTGGTGAGTCTGTGTCAACTGTAGCTTCAGTTTCCTGTTCTTTGAGTGGTGCTGGGCGTGGTCCTCTGCTGCTTCAAGGTTCAGTGTGTTTTCAGAGATGCTCTTCTGCATACTTTGGTTGCGATGAGGGGTTATTTGAGTCACTGTTGCCTTTGCCTTTACATAAAAAAGGTCATTTTTCAATGTTATAGAAAAGCTAAGACATCTCCCAGATTAAAAGGCGTTAAAGAACAAAAGGAAAATAATATATTAAGCTATATCGCTTGTTCTTTTCTCTTGTTTTGTGTAAAATGTTGAATTCCTGGTTTACCTGAGCAACCTAAACAGCATAATGTGTTTGTTTATGCCTCCTGAACATGAATTAATACAGGTATGGGACTTTCTCCAGGTTGTCATTCTTCCCACCTTGCTATGATTCTACAGACAGGATATTCAAAGGAGGTGCTGTGGTGCAGGAATCTCACAGGGGGCCTCGAGACAAGCATGATTTACCAGAGGAAACCTAGCCTCAGCCCAGGACTCCAGGGATGTCAGGAAGTTCCAGTGAGTCGAACATGAGAAAATACAACTTTTGTTGGACAAAACATGAAAGGTGAAATCTTGTCTTGTATAAGAAAATGTGTTTAGTCACTCCTTTCTGACCACTCAGTGTGGTAAAGTCGCCGTGTACCCTTAGCAAAAACACAGCCCAAAGCATGTTTCCACCTCCGTGCTGGACTGTGTGGATAGTGTTCTTTGGATCATACTCAACATTTCTCTTCCTCCAAACATCAGGTTGAGTTTGTGCCAAAGAGCTCAATTTTGGTTTCATCTGACCATAACGTTTTCTCCTAAACCTTCTCTTATTCATTTAGATGTTTACTGGCAAACTTCAGATGGGGCTTCTTGAGCAAGGGGAGCTGCAGGATTTCAATATATAGTCTGTTACTAATGGTGTTCTTGGGACCACAGGAGGAGCTTGTGGGTGGCTGTGGCTCAGGTGGTAAAGCAGATCAGCTACTGCTTGGAAGGTTGGTGGTTTGATCCTTGGCTTCTCTAGTCAAATATCCTTGGGCAAGGATACTAATCCCAAGTTAGCCTCTGATGTGTTCATCGGAGTGTGAATGTTGGTTAGTTTGCACTTGAGTTTATCCATGTTGTATACAGCGCTTTGAGTACTCTGGGAGATTAGAAAAGTGCTATATAAGAATCAGTCTGGTCCATTTTGGTCCGATCTGCCACCTTTCTCATGAAAGATCTTGCATGGAGCTCCAGAGTGAGGGTTTGGAGCCCATTCCAGCCTTGTGCAGGTCCACAGTCGTGCCTGGATGGAATTGAAACTAGCATGAAAATGAGAGACTGTTTATTTCCTTTGAAGGGAGCAGACCACTGGGTTCTTCTTGTATATAAAAGATGGGCGATGTGGTTCCGTTAAGTGTTTCAAAGCCATTCTTGGCCCCCAGTAGCAGGTAATGGGGCCCTTATGTAAAGAGGGAATTGCAGTGCCGATTTTTATTTGAAATTTTGCACATTTTGTGGATTATCTCTTAGTTACCATTTTGCACAATGTGCATAACATAACCATATTTCTGCGCTCTTAGCACGCACTCAAAAAAAAAGAAAGTTACGATAGCGCAGATGTGTGGCGCCAAATGAAGTTAGGATGACTTCTGTAATATGGGAAACCGGTGAACTCGCTGACCTCCGCATCTGTCTGCCCGCCCTGACGTCACACCGTTACAGGAGCGCACAGTGAGAGAAAGCGCACCCGGGGCTTTGCGCCATCTACGCCTGCGTCTGTATTCCTCCTCCTAGCTTTAAAACGCTCACGTGCAGTACAAAAGGAGGAGAGAGAGAGAGAGAGAGAAGCGCCTGTCTCGCAACTCCAGCGTTAAACAGTACCGTGTCCCTTTAAAAACGTCTGACAAAAAAGCCCATATGATCCCTGAGCTCCAATCACCAATTCCTTCTGCAAAAGCAGCCTCTGCATTTTTGTCTGTCTGAATGCTACAGCAGCACGGGGGGGAAAAAAGATTCAGGATAAGGCAAAAAAAAAAAAAAACTGGAGAAATGTGACAATCCAACGGTCATTTTCATGGCGAGGGGGAAACTGGTGCGAAAGGAGTTATTCTGGGACTCCTTTGAGCCTCGAAACGCTGGATCAAAATGGTAGGCTACAGAGCAGAGCTGCATTTTTGTTTATTTTTTTCCCTCTCTCCCTCTCTCTCTGTCCCTTCTTGATCTCTTGCAAATTTGAGCTACTTAGCAGGCCGATCAAACTTGCCACACTTGCGCGTCGTCGAGATCCCCTACAGCTGGCTGTCACACGCGTGTTTCGTGCTTTGTATCGTTTGCGGTGAAGTTTGTAACTTGCCGACATGGCACAAGTTGAGGGGGCTGGTGGTGGCGGTGTGGGGGGTGGATCGAAGCAGACCCCCTCTGAAAGAATGCGATGGCTACAATAGCCACATTGATGCGGAGAAGGAGTTAAATTCCTTCATATCGGACGCTTCTGCAAAGCACTCAGGTCGTGACTGGTGCGAGTGAAAGTGCCACCTTTCCCTTCCTTCTCCAAGCGAGCCAGACAGCCGGTGCAGGACAAGTTAGCGAGGCTTTCATGAGAGATGCCGCTCTTCTCGTCTCCATAACTTTATTTTGATTGCGGCTGACACTCAAGTAGAGGTGAAAAGAGGTGGAGATGGAAAACATCACCAGTGAGATCTGATAGAAGAAGCTGCCTGGTTATAAATAAATAAATAACGCAAACAAAGTCCAGCTGAAGCAGAAAATGTGCAATATTTTATTGGCTTGTGACGAGTTTTCTAGGCTGCTGCATGAGGTCAGTCGCTTTAGGGAGACGACTGATTCGTATTTGTACTGACTAATGCTCTCCTCGTCCTCTTGTCAGCGTGGATAAGTTGTGTTTTCCTCCACGCGTTAGCAGATCGGAGGGTGATTGTGACGGAGAGGCTGAGTTGTGGGAATAGAGGCCGACAGTACAGAGGCAGACAGTCCGCTCTGTCTCCAGGGTCATTTTAGGATGCCTCATTAGGAAAGCATGTGGAGCTTGATGCAGCGGTGGAGTAATCCCAGTACGCGTTCACATCTGGAGGCTTGGGTTAATATCTGGGTCAGGTCAGCGGGGTTAGCCCTGGTGCTCGCTGGGTGGCTTCTGGTGGGAGCAAAGAGGGTGAGGGAGGTCTGATTGATGTTGTATTTATGTTCTACTTATTTATTTTATTTTTTTCTCGTTTTTTTCTTTGCAAGTGCAGAAGAATAAACTGAGGTCAAGTGCACAGTGTGCATGGCGAATGCAATGCACCAGAGATCAGACAGAGTGAATCTTTTAATTGTTTTGGTGATTATTTCATAAATTAGATTGTTGATATATCCAAGGTGGGTTAATCTGGGCTTATGTTGATTTTAATCAATACCGAATGGCCGGATTACACAAAGGGTTTAGCAGCAAAGACAACAGGTGCCCACGGTATCATGGGGCCCATGGACCAGATCCTCACTATGCAAGTGTCTCTTAACATTATTATAAAGTCGCTCAGATGACCAGAAATAGAAAAATAACTCAGTGGAAGGGGCAAAAAGTGAAAACGACAATAACAAAAGCTACACCTATGGGACAAAATGTGTAAGGTGACACACGACAGATGGAAACAATCAACAGGGACTTTCAAAATTAGTACAGAGACACAGTAATAAATAAAAAGATTGAAAGTGACCACAAAGATTAGTTGAAAGGGGAAAAAAAGAGACAGAAATCGACCACAGAGGGACATAAAACATCCTAAAAAAAAGATGCAAAATACAAATATGAATGGGCGCAAGAGGTGCAAAGCTACCGCAAAGTGATCTTTAACCTGTTGAGGTGCAGTGGTTAGTGCTGTCACCTCACAGAAAGAGGCTTCTGGGTACTATCCTGCTCGTTTGGCTTGGCTGCGATGCTTCTGAGTGCAGCTTGCGTGCTCTCCTTGTGCCTGCGCTGAGTTTAGTTTGGTTCTGCTTCTTTTTCTCCCACAGTTCAAAGGCGTGCATGTCAGACTAGCTGCTGATTGTTAATTTGCGTGTCCAGCGTGCACTCTTGCTCTCTTCCCATCTCAGCCTAGTTAGACTTCAGCTCCACCCCGACAGGTTTACTGTTGAAAATGAATGGCTGGAGTCTTTTTTTTTCCCCCATATACTTTGCACTGAAGAGGGCGTTTGCATGGAGATCCTCCTATTCAAATGAAAAGACTTTATTTGGCTTTTTTGTCTTCAT